ATGTCCTGACTATCACAAAAGATTCACCTGCTGATTACTGCAACATTACTGGATTACATTATGTGTGCAAGCAATCCGTTCACATGTTTATGTGTGTAGCCATGTGCTAGGCAACATGTGAAATGCTGCGCTTGCTCATTGTGAATGTAAATCTGATGTCAAGCTGAAAGCTGAAGAGGGAATGTGTGGGTGGCAATCGCTTCCAGCTTAGACCCTGTGAGAGAACTGAGAGAGAGAGACAGAGTTAAAAGAGTGGGAGGGAGGGATGTAGACACACATGAGTAAGAGAGGTTGGTTAAAAAAACAGAAAAGGAACACGGTGTGTGTGTGTGTGTTTGTGTGTGTGTGTGGGGAGGTGGGTAAGTGTTCGTGTAGGTGTAGGAGGGACAGCGCGGGAGCAAGGCTGTATGGAGTGAAGACAGAACAGCAGAAAGAGAGAGCTGGAGTGAGAAATGAAAAAGAAAAAAGAGGAAGAGAGTGAAATGGAGGAAATGCATTTAGGTACCAAGAGAGGGAGGGAGAGAAAAAGGGAGAGGGGGGAGTTGTACTGAGGATGGGGGAGTTGGATGGAGAGAGGGAGGGAGGGAGCTCTCGAGCCAGAGATGGAGGCTGGAGAGGGAGTGGGTGTCTTAATAGCGCTGAAACGCTCAGGGCTTTTTGTATGTTTGCCTTTGTTATGATAGAACGCTGGTCGGCTCCCTGTTTGCTTTTGATCCATGAACTGTGACTACAAATGCAAGGCAGTCGCTCTCCTGTGTTTAAAGCACAATGCAGCCGCTGCATCTGAGACCCCCTTGTTACATAATCTTATGCATTTTAATGTAACCACCTAAAGCCAGCAGGTGAAGGAATGAGGTTTCACTCCCTCCAGTAGCTACATGCAAAGAGAAAAGGGGGATGGCATTTTTATTTTGCAAACACTTATCTGGACACTCTCTCTCTCTGAGCTGGTAGAGCTCTGCAGAGGTTGTTCTAACCGGTCTGAAGGAGCTAAATGTGTGTGGATGTTGAGGAAAGCTGGCACAGAGTTGTGATTTTAAAGATACCGTGCAAGGTTTCAATCCTTCATAGAGCAGCAGCAGAGTCTCTGTGCAAACCCTGACCTCTCTGTCAAAGTCTATTCTGCCTTCTGAACAAAACTCTGAAATGCACTGTGTGCACACAGCTGCAGTATGTTTCCATGAATGATAAATGTGATCTTTAGAGTCTGCAAGATGGCCATGTCAGGATAGAAGTGCTGAGGGGCCATATTACTTAATGTGCCGAGGTTTGCTGATGCATATGTCCAGAATGAACAAGTTCTGTTGCAGAGAGAAGATAACCTTCACCAGAATCACTTTTTAAATAACCAATAAAAATCCAGCCTTAAACCAGAGCCTTTCAGATTTACTGTGTAACCCATATGTCTGCTAAGGGGGAATGCACTATTTCTATTCTTAGCAGCCTTTAACAAGCATCATTTACCATAAGCCCCGGGCAAACGCGGGATAAACGTCAGGGCTCAACAGAGGAGGGCTGTGGTTATTCAGACATGTCGGTAAAGACAGCAGCACAGAGAGGACCGAAGGTTTTACGCAACGTTACAGGAGGAGAAGTTCAGTGGATTTAATGGATGTGGACAAAATCAGGTTATGATGACTAAGAACTGAGTTGCTGAGCTTGTAGTGGTCATGGTTTTACTTTGTTATTTTCAGTGATTGTTTGAACTTGTATCAATACACTGTAAGCACTTGGGATTTTTATACAGTTTGTTTTTTCAGCCTTGAATTATTGGTATTTATAGTCTAACTCAGGGAATTCCATTGTATGTGATTGTTTTGTTTTGTTGCAGATAAGTATGACAAAGCTCTGATTTTTCTGAGAAGGAAATGACCTCAAATACTCGAAGATCAAACCATTTGTTTGAAAGAGCTTCATTCAACATCCCATTCTATGTCAGGGTGCTCAGTGTCTTATTTTACATAGACGTGTCTGTTGTCTCCAAAAAAATCATGACTCATAGCCTATCTTGGTATAACTATCAACTCATTAATACTGTTAATGCAATTCTGAAAATACTTTTTAATCAATCTCCTTAGTGTGTGCATGAAGAAATCAGCCAGTAAATGATTTTAGCATCATATACACGTGTTCAGAATTTCATTGGCTACAAGAAACGTCCATTATCGGCACAAAAAAAAAGACATTCAGCAATCAGTCGACAAAACACAAAATCTTAACAATCAGGTTCGACTATGTACATCGTTGGTCAGGGTCACACCTTATTTCATAATAAGTGTGTAACAAGAGAAACAAGGATATCTTATAGAAACAGATGCTGTGTTTGGTGTAAAAGGAAAATACTCAGTCAAGCCTCTTTCTTTATCACTATTTGACTACGTTGATATTCCCTACATGCATGCTGCTTCGTCTGCACTAAGAAAGTTGGACTCGTGGCGACGGTAGTCTATTGGTTAGTTTTTGTGCCCCATGTACAGTGCTTATAGTCCCTCAAGCGGGCGACCCGGGTTCAAATCCGACCTGCGTCTCCTTTACAGCATGTCGTTCCCCTCTCTCTCTCCCTCTCTCTCCAATTTCTGACTGACATTGTATCTCCAAATAAAGGCATAAAAAACCCAAAAAATAAAGTTGGACTGGTGCCATGCCACTTAGTGATTTGTCCCTGGTTTCACTTTTTTGGAAACATTGCTGCATCTTGTATGAGAAATTTGTTCTGAACCATCTTTCTTTATACGACCATATTATGTGAGCTGCCATCTTATTTCTGTTCACTACTGACTCCTCAAACTTTCAACAGCTGCAACCAGATTCTGTATTAAACTCCTCTAACTCACTTCGTTTTCTGTAAAAAAAAAAAAAAAAGCCTTTTCTGCTCCCTCATCAACCCCCGACTGTAAAAACAGATGGACCACAAAAAAATTCCCAAAACCTGGTTTCTGTCATTATAGTTTGAGTGTTTATGTTTCTGAACTTTCTATAACAATGAGTATCATATGAATCTGTTCTGCTGTGGACGGAGCTGATCTGAGGGATCTTTTGATGTTTTATCAGTAAGTTCAATGTGTGTTCTTGATAGTGGAAGGGGCGGGGTCATTGGCCTATACTGCAGCCATTCGGTGGGCGGAGTTCTAAGTATTTTGGCTTCACTTCCAGGCGGCTGGTTCTCCGTCCATCTTAAAATAGAGTTTATGTAACTTCTGTTTAGTTACAATCTTGTTACTGGTTGCTGTGTGATGTTTTGTCTACTGTCTGGTCCAGGCTGCTTTGTAAGAGATATTTTGTAAATCAATAGCATAGAATTCTATGAATAAGAATCCTGATAAGTGAAGCGTAAATCAAATCAAACACACTTATGTTTTCAAGGAGAGTAAAAAACAAAACTAACAGAAGCTAGCAGCTGAGATTCGGGTCTGCTGTACGGTCACGGCTTCAGCTTGCATTCTCAGTTTCTGCATGAGGCTGTCCCTCATAAGCCTCCCGAACTTTACAGAAATGTAATACTACAAACCCTAGTGCTGCTGATGAACAGCCTACAGTGGTTTAAAAATAAATTCCTGCATGAAATAAAAGAAAAATGTACAAAATGCAAAGCAAAGCCCTGGCTGAAAAGAATCATATAAGACTATTCCAAAATAGACATAAATTCAGTGTTACATAAAGAAGTCCAATGATCTCGAGTGTGAATGTTACACAACAGCTGAAAGTGCAAAATAAACCACAGAAGTATAGTCCAATGTGCAGTGAAATAATGGAGCTATGAGTTAGTGTAGCTGAAATCTACCAATAATTACAAACACAGCGAGAAGGAAGCAGCAGCCAACAGTCAGATCCTGATACATTTTGACTGCTGATCACAAGTTTCTCTCCTCGACATGAGCAGCAGGCGCCAAGTTGGAATTTACCCAATATTCTGGACAATCCTTTGTTTTCTCAGAGATGATTCGACGGGCAAAAGTGGATTTAAATGTGAACAAATCCACAAGACACTAGTCTGCTGTTTTATTTTGAGCATTTGCACAATGCTAAATCTGTCATGGGAACGTTTTTATAGGTTGACATTTAGTTTGAAGCGGAAAATTCTCATGCTGGGTTTGGAGAAATTAGTAAGATAATGTCAGAATACGAGTTGGATTGATGGTGCTATTTCTCGGCTGTTTGCTTGCAATGTTAATGATGTGTCGTGGGCGTCTGATGTAAACTTTCCTGCAGGAACATTTTACTTTCAGGTGTCAATCAAATGTCTGCAGATCTGATTCGCCTCGGTTGGAAGTGAAGGCAGAGGAGTGTTTTCCTGCCTCTCTGCAAATATACCCCGATGCAGCTTTAATTCAAAGAAATCTTTGAAAATTTTGGATCAAGCTTGTGTTTTTCGTTGGGAGTTATTTGATTTTTTAGTGCGTAAACAATACAGTACAGTCTGATCTTATTTGCTTGGATAATACAGCGAGAGAGCAATGCTGTACTTGAAGTCTAGCTGAGCTTTAAGCTGCAGGGAAAGATTCTTCAACACTCAGAAAAAAGAAAATCAACTGAAAAGTCCAGTATTAGATGAGCAACACAGATACAGATTTATGCAAATGAGCTTTTGCTTGACTGTTACATTGCATGTGATGAAACAGCAGATGGGAGCGGTGCACTATCTGTGCTCATGAGCTTGGTGCTCAACACAAAAAATAGTGATGTCATCGCACAAGAGATGGGTGCCAATGAGGTGAAGATCATTTCACAGCGTATATCTGACTCTGAGGCTGCTTTTTGTCTTAAAGAATACATCAAATCTGATGTCGGGATTAGGTCAAATTTACACACTCACTCAGAAAAGAAAATCAGCGCTGTGCAAAGTTGCAGTTATGTTGTGTGTGCATTTATTTTACCCAACAAAATCATGCTTGTTTTCAGTGGGTTTTTTTCACTTGCATCAGAATGTGTATTGATTTAGACTCACACAAATATGGATTTGAATGGAACAAAAGTCAAAGAAGAAGATAAATATGTCCTACCTAGATCAGGTGGGGCTTGTTGTGCTTTGTGTCCAGACTTCTAGAGACAATGTCTCTGGGTTTGCAGTCTTTGTGACCCCCACAGTAAGCTGATTTCAGCTAATACCGGAGATGCATTCACTGACTTCAGCAGCCTGTATTCCACTGAGTCTCTGTTTGTGAAACTGCAGCAGCTCCGTAGTTTGTGTTACATTCCAGCGAGCATCAGCTCTTGTTCCGAATCGATACTCCAAAAGCACACAGTGATACGAACGTCTATAAATAACCGAGCGTGTTGGTGTATCTGCAAACGGCACCTGCCAACAAGTGTCATGACACACACGTGTTTGTCTGACTGTCTGACAGGCAGGTGACCGTCTTCTGGAGGGTTTATAAGGCCGTGTTCACGTTCCAGGGCAGAGAAGTATTGCTCAGATAGTCAGCGCTCAAATTAGCCTAGAAAAAAAAACAGGAATAAAGAGGACTCTGACTGAAGCAAAGCCAGGGAAATCAATTGCACCGCACAAGACCAAGGCAGCAAAACACTTCCATGTGCAAATGGATGAATGATGGCCTCAAACCAATCTCTAACCTTTAAATATTTCATAGACAAATAGGTATATGAATAAATGATAAATCACCAGCCTCCAATATCAAGGCACCTGGAAACAGGGCTCCTTCAAGCTAACTGAATTTCTCAGAGTAAGATGTCATAAAAAAAATATCTAAAGCGGTCGTATAATACATTTAAAGTACAATTCTATAGAAATATCACAGAAAACTATAAACTATATATACTACTATAAAGAATTATTATAGCTTTGTAATACTTAAGACATAAAAAGTACCATTCAGTGCAATATGGTGACCATTAACTCACTACTGAGCTCCACAGACACACTAGAAGTCGGTAAACAAAGATTACAGGATTATTATTATTATGAGGATTATTCTCAGACTATTCAACTACAAGCTAGGAAGAAAACACAACCATGACACAAAGTTAAACTGCTGTAAAGTGGCCTAGAAGTGGGAGGATGTCCTTCCAAAGGGTACAGCTCAGGTAAATTCGCGACTGCAGGCCTTTACTTGTGCTGAATTTACCTTTTCAGGTGACCCAAAAGTGCCACGTTGATAAGAGTACAGGATGACAGTTATTAAGTAGGCCACTGTTCGTTATCTCGCATCTTCAGACTAATTAGTGAGAGGTACAACGACGGAAAAAACAAACACTCACAAAGCCAGCTGAGTGTTATAATTTCACACTGAGGCACTGTTCATCCTCCCCCCGCCTCCCCCCGGCAGCAGCAGCAGCCTGCTTCTTCAGCACCGGCAGCACCGGCTCTTCCGCGGCGGGCAGTCCGGCTGAGAGCTCCTCCTCCCCGGCCTCTCCCTGTCCTCTCTCCCCGCTGCCCTCCGCCCCGACCCTGCACTCGCAATTCCGGTGACCGACGGAAGATCCGCTGAGGCCAATTTCTCTCATCTTTTAGATGGGAATGTTTCTGCAGTGCTTTCCTTAGTGGGTGTCCGCCTTGTGCATGTCAAAAATGAACTTGCCAAGGATGGATGAGTGAAAGGTAAACGCGTTTCGACTTTGGACTCAGGAGGAAACCGGCGCTTCGCTGCAATCAAAAGCTACACGCAGAGGGGAAAAGCTGCGTGATTGGATGTGCGTCCGTATGTGTGCACGTGCATGTGAGCGTGCATGTCCGCGCCATGTGTGGTGCGGTGCGCAATATCTCCGCCTCTCCGCATGTGCGCCAATGTGCGGGCGGAGAAGACGCGCTGCGCTCCCTGCTGCGCCTTCTCGTCCTGATCGGACTCCTCCGACGGGGCAGTCAGCGGGCAAGCGGGAGTAATCAAAAAAGGAAGCTTTAATTTCCAATGCAGGAGGATATGTGTGGACAAGCACCAAACGCCACAGAGCACTGTGGGAAGAGAGAGAGAGAGAAACGAAGTGGAGCGGCCAAGAAACAAGCCACGGCAGAAAGTAGTCTAGAAACTGCAATGCCTAAAACTGAACGCGTGCCAGCGGCTGACAGGCAGCACACCAAGGAAAAAAGAAAAGAGGCGATGACGGCAACTTAGTCCCTCGTTTCATCCCCACCAAACGGCGGTTCATCTTTAAGTAATCCGCCTGGTAAACGATGGATGGTGTAGCGTCTCCTGTCTGCTGCCTGGACGCAGATAATCCTGCACAGGTGGACAGCAGTACAGTTTGGAGAGGCAGCAGCAGTGCACTGATGCCCTGCGCTTCAATCTCTCTCTCTCTCTCTCTCTCTCTCTCCCTCCCTCTCTCTATTTCCAGTAGTGTGTAAGAGTGAGTGAGAGAGAAGAGGAGGAGGAGAGAGAGACGTTTAAAAGAGGTGGGGTTTGCTGGATTCCTGCTGAGACCTGGAGGGATTTTAAGCCCTGCAAGTAGCCCTCATCACTTTAACTCCTCCATCCCCTTTCTATTTACTTCTCCATCCCCCCCCCCCACTTTCTTTTCTCCTTCACCTTCTCCTGGCGTGCACACAGCACAGTGTGAAGTTCAGAGCCTGGGGCAACTGTATGGGAAGCATGCAAGCATGTTATTACTCGCAATGTACATCTACAATACCCCCGGTGTACCACCTGCCTGTGCATGCTGTTAAACACACACACACACACACACACACACAGCTTCACACAAATCATGACCAATCAAAATTCTGTATGATAATTTCTACATCCAAGCCGTGCACCACCCCTGCTAATTTCCCATGAGCTCGCACGCCTCTCCATTAATTTATATAAATACTGCTCAGAAATCCATATAATAACCGGCCAGCCAATACATTCAATTATGTAAATCGGCCAAACGTGTAATTCCACACCTCAGTGCGGTGCGTGTCTGAGTGTATAAATGATACAAGCAGCATCGAGCACTTTTAATTTCAGCTGTGAGGACATCAGCATTGATTGAGCTTTCAGCAATAATAGCAATCAGCACTTCAGAGGGGTAAAGGGTATCTTAGATCAGTTTCCATGACAACTGTAAATTTGAAGCAACTTTTTTAACCATTGTTGTTTTATGGCATCTGTACAGTTGCTTTACTCACCGCACCACAGTCCCTTTATTGCTGGCGAGATATAAAGCTGGCTGAAAAATAACGAACCTCCACGCTTTTCTTTCATGCAAGACCGCTGCAGTTTCATATCAAATAAAAGATTTATATGAGGCTAAAGATGTGTGACTGCACTCCGCAGCTACTTCTTGGAGGTTTTTAAAACTGTTTTACTTGGGTTCAACCTCCACCACTTCCCCGCTCGTGCCACCTTCAAATAGCTCCCAATCATCCGAGGCTGCAGAGACAGGCTTCAGGGATTCCAACAAACATTTCAGCTACGTTACCCCCCACGGCTCTCTTTCTCTCGTCCTCTCCCGTTGTCTTTTCCTCTCCCTTCCTCCTTCGCTCACACCCTCTCTTTCCTTTTCTCTCTTTGTACCACAGCCTGTCTGTCTGCACTATAATTATTTCCATGGTTACCATTAAGGATGTGAAGCTCAGCCTGATGCTCTATGGTAGTAATCTTTTCCTCTCCTCAGCCTGTTCCCTCTGTCCTTCTGTTCTCATGCGTCGCTTCTTTTTCTTCTTCTTTTGAGTCCCTGCAGCCGTCTCTCACACACTCCTTTCTGCAGCTACACGTGCAATCTGCTTTAAAACTAAGATTTAAGGTAGACTCTTGTATCGTTACAATACCTGCACAAATTCATTCTCATGTCTGAGGATGTGCTGCAGTCAGCCTGTCCCATAGGCACTGATCTTATGATGCATCGCTCTAGTTGTCAGTATGCATGGTAGGACGATGCAAGATGCTTGCATATCAACAACTTCTTTGTCTTAGGCGGGCTACACACGTGACATTTTTTTAAATTTTTAGCGATTATAAAAATGTGGGACGCTACAGGTAACGATTTTACAGTGGCGATTCCACACAGGAGATCTTTTAGAAACTCGCATGAACAAACCTGACTTCAGAAGAAAAAAAAAAAGTATGGAAGACCGACGTCGTCAGCTGGTATGTCTTACACGAGTGATTATACAGGAACTCATGTTTATTTTTATTTATTTATTTGACCATAATCTGGCCAGGTTAATCCCACTGAGATCGGAGGCGGATTGTGCGCTCCCATAATTTCACAAGCTGTTTTTTGTTTTCAATATTCCACTTGGCCGGGGCACATGTGTGTTCATGTTTGCTGCCATTTTTGTGAGTTTGAGTTAAAGTATGCAACATCCAGTTTGTGACGCTTTCTGGTCTGCTTTCTCTGATTGGCTATTACGGGCAGTCGGGCCGGAGGCAGCCCAGTCTGGAATCATAAATATCAAACACGTTTATGACTCAAGATCGGGGAGGCTCTGACTCAATCGGGAGCAGTAAAAAATAAACCTATTGACACCACACACTTGAGGGTTATTTGGAGTAATAATCGTTTGCAACAAGCCTTTAATCAGGCCCCCCATGCCCCCCCCCCCCCCCCCCTGATCGTTTACGGGGTTGGGCGCAACTAAAGCAGAAAAAATCCTCTGGTATGTAGCCAGCATTGAGCAACAAAGAGAGAATAGACGTAGCTATTATGGGCATCAAAATATGAAAATAAAATAGTTTTGTTTTTTGCTTAAACACAATGTGATTTATCAGGCAGCTGAAGTATTGCTAAGGCGTGTATGGCCATGAATCATCAGTAGAAATGATGAGTAACTCTGCTAAAATATCTGGTTCTTGGAAGAAAAGTCAAAGGCTGAACACTATAAACAGAGAAACTTTCTGGGAAATGTACTTACTGCTATTTCTTTTACAGAGAAAATTGATGTCTGTTGAGTAAATAAAAAGATAAAGCCGGATGCTTCTAACAATTGGCTCGGCACAAAGGCTGGAAACAGAGGAAAACTAACTACTGATGGTTTATGACTGGCAACCTTAAAGTGATGAGTCTCCATGTAGACACTACACCCAGAGAGAAACACTTCTGCACATTAAGTCCCATAGAGCCAATACCTGAAGTTATTTCATTTAGTTTATCTAAAGAGTGTAACTTCACAGTGTGTAGACCTACTGTGGCACTAGTCCCTTTAACACTGCCAGTTCAAGATGGGGCTTTTACTTCCATAACATCTTGCAGTCGATGTAAATGTCAAAGAGGTATCATGGCAAGACAAAGTTGTGTCAGAATTTGAGCCAGGACTGGAAGTAGCAACAGCTGTAAAAGGGGTGAAACGTCACTCAAAAGCTCAAGTTGGCATGGCAGAAAAAGCTCTATACTGTATGTGTGCATTTCTGAGTTCATTTGAAAACACACAGCATTAGACTGCCGTGTAACGTGTAAACCCAGACAGAAGACAGGGTCTCTGCAGACACAGTCACCACATAACATGTATGGAGGCCCATAAGTGATGACTAAGCAGCATTACTTTTGTATAAGTCAACATTTTATTTTTTAGGAAAAAGCGGCAGGCTATCTTTAACTACAATACAAAAGCACAGCTTATACTTTTCATCTGATTTGCAAACTTGACAGATTTTTTGTCTTTGCAGTGAGGCCAATGGGTACTGTAGCATAGAATAATTTGCAATGGACTAAATTACTTGTTTAAAGCAAAGTTTCTCTAATTGGCAGGTATATAGAACTGATAAAAGGACTCTAGTTGTTCCACGTTAAGTACCCTTGAGAATACAGGTGCGGCTCATAGAATTAGAAAGAGAATCTATCTGGGGTATTGTCGAGAGGAAGATGAGAGACCACCACCTAACAATGCAGACGAGCTGAAGGCCGCCATCAAAGCAACCAGGGCTTTCACAACACCTCAGCAGTGCCACAGGCTGAGTGCCTCCATGCCACGCCGCAGTCATTCAGTAATTCTTGCCAAAGGAGCCTCGACCAAGTATTGAGTGCATAAATTAACATACTTAAGGGTCGACATTTCTGTATTATACTTCTGTATTTTTTCTGATTGGGCTTATGTAATATTGTAATTTTTTTGAGATCCTTGAGTTTTTGATTTTTATGAACTTTAAGTCATAATCATCAGGATTAACATATGAAAGTTTCACTTTTTGAATTAAATTACATAAAAAAAAGGAACCTTTTAATGTTATTCCCATTATAAAAGCTGCACTTGTATTTATGAAAAAGCTTTAAGATGGGAATATTCAGAGGTGAAATATTTATAAGAACCTGTCTCTCCCTGGTCTGTTCAAAAGTAAGCTGTCTTTTTCTTTCTTTCTGCCTGTAGAGTCAAAGTTGCAGGGTTCTTGTTTTTTTTCTAAAGAAAATTTCACAAAATGTCAACCAGTGGAAATCATTTAAAATCCTGCTGTGGAACTAGCAGGACTTAACTCTGGGCTCTTGTCTTTTTAAATGAAAGTATAATAAGATGATTGGCTTACAAAAGAAAGTCCTTTTTTGGCATTTCTGTGTTTTCTTCCTCTCTTGTACTCATTGAATCTCTGATTCCTTCAGCACAATAACAAAAAACTCTGTTTTAAAATGAGGAGTTATTACACATATAGACAACTGTCATGATGCCGACTCATTTCAAGAAATATTTTCCATATATAACTTCTAATTGGATGAAAAAAAAGACTTTCAAATACTCTTTATATCACAAGAGAAAAACATTTCTCATAATAAATACTGTAATTAGTTTAGGCATGCTCTGTCAAACACCATTAGCCAACTGCTAACATCACAGAGCTCAACTCCAGGGGAACCAGTGCTTCCATCACAGGTCGTTAAAAAACTTTTAATGGAAGTGATCCCACACTGCGATGTCTGCCAGACCTCCTCCATCTCCTCACTGTCCGTCTAAACTTGACCAAGGTGCCATCCGCTCCAGCTCTGGTGCAACCACTCGCAGAGCCGACACCAGCTCGTGTCAGCTTCCATGTTTCAGACAGATAGAGAGATAACGGGAGGTTCGGGCTGACAGCAGAGGAAGCAACCAGAAAAGTTGTAACAGGAAACACACTGTGACAGCCAGACCCCTGAAGAGCGGCAGGAGAAAATGGAAAAAACAGGAGGGAGCCGGGTGTTGCATTGTGAGAAAGTGGAAGAGAGAAAAGTCTTTTAGTTTGTGACGGGATGATGGATGGTTGAACAACGACGACAGAAGTAGACATGTGCACACTGCCACCTGGCTGGGCTTAAAGCCAAAGAAGGAGGACGAGGTGTAGAGGATGCCAGTGTGGGAGCGGCTGGCATTAGGAGCATTGGTGTGTTATTTTTTTTTTTTTTTTTTTTCTTTCTTAACTTTTCCAGCCAGTGGGGACGCTCTGATCGATCAGGCAGCAACCAGA